TTTATTAAAAAAGAAAACAAAACTTTGTGGCTCCTGACTACCCAGAATCCAAATGCCTTTTTTATTTTTTATTTTTTTTAAGATTTTTTATTTATTTATAGAAGCACTGGGTACAGTCAGAAGCATGGGAGGATGAGAGAATTCACCAGAGCCAGAGCGGGGAACAGAACAGACAGACTGACGAAACACTGCTGAGGGGAGCAGCGGGCGCGGCTGGAGATGTATGTCGCGCCATGTGGGGCCGTCGCTGGCAGCCCGGGATTGAACTGGCGCTGCAGAGGTTGCGGGCAGCTTTGCAGCCCAGCGCTCAACCGCTGCACCACCAGGGGAGGCCCTCCAAATGCCTTTAGTAAATCCAAGGCTTGAGATCACCCAAATTTGGGCATCCCTGGTGGCGCAAGGGGTTAAGATGCAACCTATGAAGCTATCTGCAGCCACTGCAGCACGAGTTAGATCCCTGGCCAGGGAGCTACCCACTCACCTCTCCTGACTCGCCTGCTGCTCTCCTCAGCAGTGTATATCAGTCCATCTGCCTGTTCTGTTCCCCACTCTGTCTCTAGTGAATCCCTTCACCCCCCCCCACACCTCTGGCCGGTACCCCAGTTCTTGTATGCATAAATAAATAAATCCTTAAAAAAAGATCGCCCAAATTTACCCACCACTTTTTACTTAGAATATTAATTGTGGCCTGTATACCTATATGCAAACCTTACTACACGTGGTTACTCAGCGTGGAACCACAGCAAATTTATTCATCTTTTAAGAATCAAGTCAAATGCCACCCTTGTTCTGCTTTCCCCTTTTCTTCAGTCAATAGTTCCTACTGTTAATACCCTCAGTTCAGCTTTCATCTCTCTGGTTTGTAACCACACCTTTCCATAACTAGTTGTAAGTTCTTTTAGAGCTAAGAGCCCTGTTTTATCTTTGAACTCGTAGCTTAAGACAATAAGCTGTTCTAAATTCACTTTTGCCGAATGAGTAATATTACCCAAGCAAGGGAATGTCTTTACACGTTTCTTTAAGTCTTTTTTTTTTTTTTTTTTAAAGATTTATTTATTGGGCCTCCCTGGTGGCTCAAGGGTTAAGCACCGCACTATGAAGCAGTCCACAGCCTCTGCAATATGAGTTCAATCCCCGGCTGGCCAGGGAGCAACCCACATGGTACAGCAGACCTCTCCTGTCTCGCCCGCTGCTCCCCTAAGCAGTGTATTTCAGTCAGTCTGCCTGTTCTGTTCCCCACTCTGTCTCTGGTGAGTCCTCTCACCCCCTGCATCTCTGGTCTGTACCCTAGCTCTTGTATGCATAAATAAATCAATCTTAAAAAAAAGATTTATTTATGCATACAAGAACTGGGATGTAGGCCAGAGATGCAGGGGGTGAGAGGATTCATCAGAGACAGTGGGGAGCAGAACAGGCAGATCTACTGAAATACACTGTTGAGGGGAGCAAGGGGTGAGACAGGAGAGGTCTGCTGCACCATGTGGGTTAGCTCCCTGGCTGGCTAGGGATAGAACTTGTGCTGCAGTGACTTCTGATAGCTTGATAGCCCTGTGTCTTTAACCCCTGTGCCACCAGGGAGGCCCATTTTTTAAGTCTTAAGGAATTGCAGAACAGAAAAGGAATCTGGATGAAACAATGCAAAGAATGCTACTTGTAATGAGGACAATTCAAATGTTACATTAAGAGGTTACTGAAGACCCAGTTACTTTTTCATGTGCACCACTGACATCCTGATAAGATATAAAAACTGGATGACTTATTAACTGATATTTGGAAGGGGTATTTTTGTTAGAACATTAATTTTTAAACTTTTTCTAGCAAAGATAAGATTAAAAGAGGGAAATGGAAGACAATATATAAACTTTAGGAGTCTAAACTGGTTAAAAATTACAATAGAAGAACAGCTTTAGAGAAATATTAATATGTGAGCAATAGTGTATGTTCCAATATGGTCCAAGATCTGTAGGAATGAGTCTCAGTCCTGAATAAGCTCTGAAGGAATTGAATAGAGATATTTAAAGCTGAAAATGATAAGCTTTTTATGTGAAGAACATAAAATGGTTTGCAATATACCTAGAGACCTAATTGCAAAAAGTTACCTAAATTACTTTCAACAGTTCTCATAGATTGCCGAGGAGACTATCAAGTTATTTATTTCTCTGTCCTTTCTGCATATTTTCTCTACTTGTTCCTAAGAAACCTTGTATTTAAAGGACCCTTTCTCTTGGTACCTGTTTGATATAATCTTACTCCCTTGGTTCCACAACTCTTCCCAAACGCCTCCCCTTTTCTCTTTACAATTTCTGTCTGGTCTAATAATAATAGCTCATTACCTATAGTTCATTGACATTTCTACCTCAGGATCTTTGTATATCTGTCTGTGTCCTCTGCCTGAAAATTGTTGCCAGGCATCCTCTTGCTGATCTCTCAAGCTTCTAATTAAGAAATCATTGGTTCTCCACCCTATTTAGAATCCTATATCACATATCCACAACACACCTTATTTTTTCTTTATGGGGCTGGCTGCATTATAAAACTAGAACAATTAAATGTCTAAACATCCTGGTAGATTTTTAAAGTTTCTGCTTTTACAACTTCGGCCATTTCTAACTTAATAATGCTAAATTCTCAGTATTTAGAATGGTACCAGGCATATAATAGGTGCAAAACAGTTGTTGAATGAACATGTTATAAGTACTAAAAAATCTTTTATAGATAAGGAAACTGAAGAGTGAAGAAGTTAACTTGCTAAATGTTGCCTCATGAGAGTGTGGGGAAGTGAATACTCAACAAATGTATCACACAGCCCTGAGACCTTTAGTTTTTCGTGAAATCTTGCCTCTTAGAAACTACTTAGCTAGCTGATTAGGATTTGGTCGTAACAGTTGTGCTCTCCCCAAGAATATTAAAAAAAAAAGTGTGACAAAAAGATGTTGATGGCCTCTGGAATAAAAGGAAAACTTTGGGGACCAAAGGGCTTGAAGAAACTTTAGTATCAGTTTATTAGAAAACAGATGGCATGTCAAGGATATTAGACAATGGAGACTATTACACCTGTAAAGGGAGCTCCAGTCTTAGGGGTAAAATGCGGAATCAATTTTGAACCTGCTACTCAATGCAGTGTTGTTTCTTACAGGAAACATCATCAAGAGCCATACTTCTGGTAGTAGAGTGTTGAGAGGATGAAAATACAGCATCTATACCAGACTTTTGGGTTTGGGTCCCAGCTGTGTTACTAGCTCTGAGAACTTCTGGGAAGTTTCTTAATCTCGAGGTATCTCTGTTTTTCATCCGTAGAAATGAAGCATAGGTATTTTTATCAAGTTGATGGGAGGACAGTAGCTGACCCAAAGTAATCACTATTAAAATCATTTCTTGTTATTTTACAAATGGCAGATTAAAGATCATGTTTTTCAAAAAGTAAGACATGAAAAGGAATAAAAATTAAGAAATTTTAGAATTTTGAAAGAATGAACATGTAGGAAGCCATCCATTGGCAAACAGCATAACTGATGTAGCTGTGAAATCAGATTTTGGGATATGTACCCTTCTTCACTTTAGTTAAGCTATAATCTGGTTTTACTGAAATAAATTTCCTGGAACCAGCTGAATAGCTAAAGAGAAAGCTGAAGGCTTTCATTTTATGAATAGGTAAGTTTGTAAGAAAAATAATTGGGGAATTTTCAAACTTGTCAAATAGCAGGCACTTTTAAATTCTATCTCTTAAAATAGAGAATTCTGCTTACATCATGAGAGTATATAGCCTTTTTCAGTAAAAAAGATGACATTATTTCTAGTTAGTTAAATGAAATTAAAAAAGTTAAATAGCTTTATTTAGATTCTATTTTCCTAGCTATTAATAAATTAACTCTTGGAACTTTACCATGGTTAATGTGAAAAAGTTGAACAGAAAATCACAAAATTCCAATGTTTGGGAGTGCACATAGTTACATAGAAACCATTTCATTGCTCTAATTTAAGGTATTTTACCCACATAAACTAATGTTCTCAGAAACATTTCCATATTAACAGAACTATGCTTATACATAGGCCTACCTCTAAATCTTCTTCTTCATCAATCTTCTGTATATTTTGGAAGGCAGCAGTATAGACCTCCAAAGCTTTGCCATGAAATAACATTTCAATGGTGATAAATTCTGAAAATATAGTCTGAAAAAGAAAGATCTAAATTTAAATAATCATAATTTGCCTTGTGAAGTGAGTAATTATAACTTACTGTAATTTTGGCATTTTATGAAATACAGAAGTACCTATTTTTCTAAAGGGCAAATAAAGTACAAATGATAGCTGCTAGAATAAAAAGTTACAAAGAAATTTTGCAGCATGTCACCATTCACTTTCCTTCCCCCTTTTATAATCAATTCTATTTATACCTTGTAATTGACATTTTTGATAAAAACAAGTTTGACTAAAATGTATGCCATTACGTTACCACTTGCCTGTATTAGAGCAATTCAGTTCTGAAACTGTTATTTTAGTAACTAAAACAGATATTTAAAAGAATGCTTTTTGAATCCCATTAGCTTTTTTCTGAGTATATGTTACTTGTATTCTCTAACCACAAAGGAATTACAGGGTAATAATGGTATTTCTACAGCTGATAATGGCACTTTTGCATAGAACTTTCTAGTTTATATAACTTGTCAGAGTTACTGCTAGAATGTTGACAGTTGGATCTGGATTCCTCAAAGGTTATAGCTCTTACTGAACTATGCTGTGCTTGCTGGAATCAACATTTCTCTCACAAATAAACTGTGCAGGTAGACACTAACTATGATGAAAACTTGACAAGAAGATCATGAGTAAAGAGAATGAAGATGTTTAAATGGGGGTGAGATAGTTTATAGATAGGGAAAGGATGCAAATCATACAAGTTTCCATTAAAATTGGATCTGTTTTTTTTTTTTCACCTTCTTGTCCCTTATCAAAATAAAAAAACAGAGTTATCAATGTAGAAAGAAGTGGGCAGAATAAGAACTGGGTAGTAAAAACCCAAGCATCGTTCTTAAAGGGGCAAGATGGAAAGTATGGGTTAGGTAATAAGGCAATAGTCACAGACCCTCTTCCCTTCATCCCTGTTCTGCTATAGTAACCACCCACACAGGAATGACCTGTACTGTGGTAGATAGCAGACTGATATTCATCAGGGTCCTATGATTGTTTTTCTCCCCCCATTTCCGTTCTTAAGGATTAGAAAAACATTTGAGAGTATTAAAACAGGGTTCCACCCAATGGAAACATCTGTAGTTGAAGATATCCCTTTTGTTAGGCACTTGTATCAGTCTGTACAGAGTGAGCTCTGGTATAAAAGACTTAAAACTATGACTAATAATGACCCTTCATATAGGTCACAGAGGGCTTTGGCATATTGGACTAGCAACTGACTAGCAGTAAACAGCATTATGCAGATCTAGACTAGCCAAAACAATCTTAAAAGGGAACAAAGAAGAGAACTCACACACCTTGATTTTAAAACTTATTACAAAGCAGATGCTAATCAGAACAGTGTGGTATCAGGATAAGGACAGACATGTAGAGCAATGAAAGAGAATGAGAGTCCAGAAACCATGTCACTGGTTTTCAACAGGGGTATCAAGACAATTAAATGGGGAAAGAATAGTTTCTTATACAGATGGTCCTGAAAGAACTGGATTATGATGTAACAGAATGAGGTTTAACCTTTAGCTCACACCATATGCAAAAATTAACTGGATCAGAGACTTGTATGTAACAATGAAAACTATAAAACAGGATAAAACAGGGATAAGCCTTTAATGATAATGGATTTGGTAATAGATATGACACTAAAATCATGCACAGCAAAAGAAACTATAAACTGGACCATCAAAATTAAATACTTTTAGCCTCAAGGGACACACCAAGAAAGTGAAAAGATTACCCACAGAATGGGAGAAAATAACTGCAAATCATATCTGGTAAGGTACTTGTACTAGAATATTTAAAGAATCTTACAACTGAATAATAAAGACAACCCAGTTACAATATTGGCAAAATGTCTAAATAGAAATTTCCTTAAATATATACAAATATCCAGTAAGCATCAGCAGGGAAAGGCAAATGAAAACTACAATGAGATATGACTTTACATCTACTAGGGAGGCTAGAATGAAAAAGTCTGATGAACAGTGAGGGCTGGTGAGAATGCAGAGAAACTGGGACCCTTATATACTTTTGGTGGGAATATTCAACCACTTTGGAAAACAGTCTCACAGTTTGTCAAGTGAGTAAAGATAGTTACTATATGACCTAGCAATTCAGCTAGGTATATACCTAAGAGAAATGCAAATTTATGTCCATACTAAAACTTATGTTATAAAATGTTATAAATGTTATAAATCATAAAAGTCAAAAGGTACAAATGACCCACGTATTAATCAACTGATGAATGGATAAAATGTAATATCCATGTAATTAATGGAATGTTATTGAGCCATGAAAAGAATGAAATACTGATACATGATATAATATGGATGAACTTTGGAAGCATTATGCCAAATGAAAGCTAGTTACAAAAATCATTATTTTATGATTCCATTCATATGAAATGTCCAGGATAGTCAAAACCATAGAGATTTGAAATTAATGTTGGTTGCTTTGGGCTAGGGATATGAGGATGCAGGGAGGCAAAGCTAAAGTATACTAGGTCTCACTTTGAGATAATGAAAATGTTCTAAAATTGAGTGGTGATGATTACATATAGCTGAACAAGCTAAAAACCATTGAGATGTACATTTTAAATTGGAATTTTATAGGATATGGGTTATATTCTCAATTTTTAAAAAAGGAGGTTTCTTTTTTTTTTTTTTTGGTGACCATGCGAGCCTTCCCTTTTCCAGAGACAAATACAGTAGACAAAGAGAAAAGCTTGGAAACTCTCTTCTCTGTGTACTCTCCATGGCAGTCCTCTTTCCATGTCCTTTTATTTTGGGGAATTAAAGGCAGTAGGAACTGTAGTTGGAAATCTGTACTCACTCTTTTTGTCCAGTTTAGTTTTATTAATTATTGGTGTTCAGGAAATTAACAACATATATAGAAGGTTCAGCATACAGGTGAACACTGTAGTGAGTAGGCACAAAGTACCTTGTATAAAAAAATCTGGAGGCACGAGAAATTGTGGTGGAGTGAGGATTCCTATCACTAAAACCCTTCACTGGAAATGAAAGGGCTCACACCTCATGTCTCCATATTCATTTTTTAGGTTAAAGCTAATTATTTAAATAAACTTCCTTCTATTCTCCCTCAATTTTAGAGGGGATTTCAGCAACTGCCTATACTCTGCCACCTCGGTGAAGGTATTAGTCCTAGGAAGCTTCCCTAAGTAGCAGTCTACCATTACACAGCAGAGTGTAGAATGAATTAAGAGGCTTTTAAAAAAAAAAAAAATGCATACAAGAACTGGGGTGTAGGCCAGAGGTGCAGGGTTTGTGTGTGAGAGGATTCACCAGAGAGAGTGGGGAGCAGAACAGGGAAATCTACTGAGATACATTGCTGAGGAAAGCAGGGGCTAGACAGGAGAGGTCTGCTGGGTTAGCTCCCTGGCCAGGACGAACTTATGCTGCAGTAGCTGGTGAAAGCTTGATAGCACTGTGACCTTAACCCCTGTGCCACGATGGAGGGCCTAACCCCCCTCCCATAAGAGGCTTTTAAATACTTTTTGATCTTCAGGATCACACCAGAAACCTCTGAGCCTGGTTTATCAGAAAAATCAAAGGTTTGAAATCCTTTTAAACTATGATAGGAAATTAAAAAAAAAAAGTACAAATGAATGGATTTTTGTTTTATGGATTGTGGAAAAAAATGATGTAAGTGGCAAATGCTGCTTATTTTATTGATAATATAACTTCTGAAAGCAGGATTTTTTTGGTCAATAGTTGTAAAATCACAAAAATGCTTTTTTTTTAAAGCTTACTCCAGGAAAATTTGCAGTGAGCCAAAGGCATCTTTAGATGAGTTGTTTTAAATGTTTTAAGATGGTCATAAGCAATTTTTAAAATCTTTCCAAGATGCCTATGAAAAAGTCACTGAAGACCTTGTGAGGTCCATGAGCCTGAGGTTTCAGATTTAGTAAAGTGTTACAAAAAAATAAAGGTGACACTTAGTGTGATACCACATCACAGTGGATGCAAGTTATATGTTGGCTACCATTATCCTATTTATTGATGATATACAACTATTAGAAAGCTTTATGCTATAAAGTTAATGATAGTATATTATAATGGAAAGCACAGCATTTTAAAATACAGTATTGTTTTATAGCTCAGCTTTGGGCTGTGACATTCTGGGTTAAGTTACTTTATATTTCTGCATAATTTTTATATAAAATATGGTAACATTACTTCATTCTTATGAAATTGCTATATAGTTTAAAAGATAATTTATGTCAAGGGACTGGAATAATGCAGAATACATAAAAATAATAATTGTTAGTTCCCTTTGATTAAGTATTATTAGTGTTAAAAGTAGGCTATCTGGCCTTTGTTTGGGAATGTAGCCCAAACATCATTGATTCCATAAGAAAAATAATATCATTGATTCCATAAGAAATATATACATCATTGATTCCATAAGAAAATAATGTTTTCTATATTTTCACTTGTATTTTTCACATGGGCTATTTATGGGCTAAAAAAATCATCATAGTATTTTAAATTTTTTATAGTTAAATAAAGCAAAAATATAAAGTTAGGAAACATGTTTTGAATCGAAGAGTTACTTTATTACCTTTATATCCTTTATTTTCTGCTTTTCAAAATTGTCAATAGTTTCCTCCAGATGTCGAGTTGTTCGGGTAGCATCCATTGTAGCTCTTTGTAATTCGGTTTCTGCCTACAAAAGTGTTCCCCAACCAAAGATACAGAAAAATCAAGTTGGAATTTATTCAGCTGAGTCATCTGTAAATGCTATCATAGCACTACTGGCTTTTTGGCATAAGTGTAAATTGTTCAGTGTATTTTGCTGCATAAAATAAAAATGTTCTACATTATAAACACATGCAGCAAAAGAATTTTAAATCTATTAAGTGACATGGTCATGATCTCAAGCAAAAGAACTCTTTCCTTTCATAAAATAATTTTTTTCAATATCACCCTTGGACAATTTACTACAGAACAATATTCTATATTTCTGCTTTCACCTGTCACTATCTGTCCCATTTGTCATACTATTCTTTTTATTCACTCTTCTTACCCTTTCTCACCCCAAAAGAAAAGACTTGTAACATAAGTATTTTCATAAATATTTTTAATTTTCTAGTTCTCCCAGTGTATTAAATGTTTCTAACACTGTAATATCCTCATCAGATAGCTAGAATAAATTACAAATATTTATTTTAATATGGGATTTCTATTTGAATGTTCTTATAAGCTAATAATTACTATAATATATATATTATAGCTTATAATTACTTATAAGTTATATTATTAGCTTGTAATATAAGTAATTATATAATAGTAACAATGTTACTGTTTAATTAATACCTATTACAAAATATGTATCTCAGAAACTAATAAATTAGATGGCAAGTCTAATGCTTTGCTTAACACATGCTAATGACAAGTATTGATGCTATCTAGGTCAATGTTATATGATCTGTTTGGTGGCCACTAGGCACATGTGGCTACTGAAATTTAAATCAATTAAAATTACATGAAAATTTTAAAAACTTGTTACTCATTTATTCTAGTTACAGTTCAAGAGTTCAAAAACCATATATAGTGGCCACAGTAAGATATAGAACAATTCCAATCTAATCATGTATTTCTGTTAAAAAAAGCATCTCTTCTTTAGAACAATAGTTACTCCAAAATATTTAATTTTTTTGTTAAGCAGTTAGCATAGAGATTAAAAAAGACATATTCCAATTTTCTGGTTAAATTCTTTCTAATAAAGTTTTGTTTACTTTGCTAGTAGTGTATCACATATTATCATTTAAGAGTTAATTCATAGAAAAAAGCTTATACTTGTCATCAAAGTTTTGCAACATATAATATTCTGACATTTGGTTTCTTTCCCAAGAAAATGTTTAAAATGAAATAAGTAAAAGGGTTTACTACAAGGGTCCATCTCTTGACACACCACTTTATTACCCACCTGTGACTGAAATTTTTCATAAAGGAAAAAATACATTTCAAAGAACAATTTTTAAAAATAAATTTAAATCATATACCCTTACAAAATTCTATGTTCTGCAATTAGATCATTACAACTTTGTATTAATTGTACAGTCTTAAAATTAGGTTAATTCAAATACACAATTTCAACATACTAAGCATTAAAAAATATATTCATACCTCAAAGATTTCAAAGTGTGTGTTTGTGTGTGTATACATTTGTCATGTAGGGTATAAAATTTTTAAAAACCATATAAACTTGACTTTTAGTCATAATCAGTAATCAAAAACAATTTATTATTGGGCTTGGGATTTTTAACAATATAAACTTACCATGGGAAAATCAAAATGAAAGTGATTTCCTTTGAAAATCAATATGAAAAAATTTCTAAGTTACTTGATGCATGTCAAACTTTTACTAATGAGAATACTCAAGCAGAGTAATTTCCCAATACTGTTTATTACATGGACTGATGTAATTCTTTCAGCTACTTTTGGCTTACATATTTCCCCTCCATTTGAGAATTCTGTTAAAATTTTTACAGGTTGTTAAGAGTTGGCTAAACTAGAAAAGTGTGGAAGCAGAACTCGTGGCTGAGATATCCGTATCTTAATATTTCACCATCTAGCAACTTCTTAAAGTCAACATTTCTTAGTCTCAAATTCTTTTACTTCAGCATTGCAACTTGCCTACACACAGCTATTTTTAGCAAAGAGGATATAGATTTCTATTATTGAAAATTCTTCAAAAATCCTATAATGTACCAATTTGAGTAGGAAACACTTTTGATTAAAATATACTATATGACTCTAAGGATGTAAATATATTTAATGGAATAAGTTATGAGTGAACAATGGTTTTAAATAGGATGAGTTAGGTTAGTGTTTTTCAAATTTTGTTACAGGGGTTTTGGGGCTGGGCAGGCAGTCTGGGAACAATTTACCCCATCCTCTTCTATCAGAGCTACTTCATTTTATTTTACACATTGACTTTAATGTGCTTCTTTTTAATAGATGAATTCTAAGGGTTTATCTAGGTAAACATTATATGATGCTATGATTGCATATTTTTATATTTGTATTGAATACATTATATGTGTATTTACACTGTCTTTTATTTTCTTGTCTCAGATTGTCAAAATCAACTGGAGTCACAGATCTTTCCCAATGAATGACTCAAACAATTCACTGATAGTAATAATCTATTCAGTTGTTATTTATTTCCCCCCATATGAATACACAGACATGATTCTAGGTATAAGACTACCTCCTCCACAGTAGTTTTATAGTAGAGCATCTAAGACAGCCAGATTCTTTGCCTTACAAGCAGATTTATTTCTGTATTGACTGTCCATCCCAATACCCTTTATTCAGTCTTGCCAATTGCTCAAGATTCTACATTTAGATTTTAGGTTTCATCCTTCAGGTACTCTCCTCCAAACAAAACGACAACATACTAACCTCTGGCTTAATTCTTAAATCTGTGACACTCCCTGGCCACACCTTATTCTCTAGTTGTCAGTTATGAATTTTCTAGTATTCCTTGGTGTGTCTGATTTGCTTATAGAGTATGTCCATACTCTGTAATCTCCAGTTTGCAGATGTTAAGTCTCAACTGCATTCTAGATGTTCCTATCCCAGCCTTCAATGGGCAGCCCCAGCCCTTTGGCTGCCCACTTTTATTACAAGGTTGGGCTTATGTACCTTTGGTACAAAGGAAGGAGGACCAGGCAATTGTCATAGAACCAATTCGCTACCCTCAGGAATGGAGGTGTTCTGGAATCTCTAACGCCCCCAAGAATCACTCCTCAAATGGTTTCTGGCTGAGCTGGGCAGTAAAAACCTTAAGGAAGCAGGAAGGAGACATAGAAGAAAGAATAGGAAAAAGGCAGTGGGAAAAATTAGTACTTTCTATACAATTGTACCTCTCCCAGTGCTGGCAAGTAGGTATTATTTTCTATTCCATTTTGTCATAAACAAAGCACATTCTAAGTTAAGAAATAGTCATTCTTAACAGAAGAACCTTGTAATAGTAGATACTCCTTAATCTAGATTTGTTTCTAGCTGTGGAATCTCAATTATACACCTTCCTTTCTCAAAAGTAGGGCAGAGAGAGTACTGATATATTAAGATTAAAGATAGATCTTTATACATTCATCTTATAATTAGTCATGTGGGAAAAAGCTCCAAATTTTGAATTTGGATGCTCTATAAAGCATCTACATTTATAAGTGCTTTATTTTTTGAACATCTATTATGAAAAACAAGAAAGGGGATTGAATTAAGTGGTATATTTTCTTTAAAATGAGCTTTTTATTTATTTATGCATACAAAAACTGGGGTGTAGGTCAGAGATGCAGGGGGGGGAGAGGATTCACCAGAAACAGAGTGGGAGCAGAACGGCAGATCCACTGAAATACACTGCTGAGGGGAGCAGTGGGTAAGACAGGAGAGATCTGCTGAGCCATGTGGGTCAGCTCCCTGGCTGGATGTCGAACAGAACTCATGCCTCAGTGACTGGGGATAGCTTGATAGCACTGAAACTTTAACCCCTGCACTACCAGGGAGGTTCTAAAATGAGCTAATTTCTGTAGTGAGAATTTCTAAATGCATGTATTTCAGTTAATCTTTATATTCCAATCTCTGCCCATTTAAGAGTAGAAATGTAAAATTTCAGTATGTATTTACTTGTGTATGCATACCTTACAAAACATTTTTTTAAAGACCCAAATTCAAAGGATACAATAACATGCCGATCAGATGGATTGCGCTGGCGTGTTCTTTCTAATTGAGTTAACTGCTTAGCTTCTCGATTCCTTGCTGTTAATGTTGCTTTGAGGTCATCCTGCAAATAAGCATTTTTTGGTTAATAAAAATCTTTGATATAAGAAATGAAATCCACACATTGTGTTTTAAAAATAGGATAATCCTCTTTGTTTTATGCAGGTACCATCCCCATAGTAATCATTACTGTTACATAACCAGTGTGTGTGTCTTTGTGGGTGAGAGTGTATACATGTGTGTTATCCTCTCAAAATAGTAACACAGACAAGATTTCAGTGCAAACTTATAACTATATAGACTATTATATGTATTTATGTAACATTTGGATGGTTATGGCCATTACATGTGTATATGTGTTTGTTAAAATGCAAGGAACATTTAAAAGGGGAGAATTTTACTGCATATAAAAAATACCTCAGTAACTTAAAAAATACAAAGTTTGCTACACTCATTTTTAGCCTGCATGTTATTGTCAACTTTAAAATAGAAATGCAAACATTCGTTTAGAAAAATAATTTGTCTATATATTACTCATGACTGCAAACACAAATATTTTAGAGCTTTCACAATAATGCTTCATGTTGCTACATAGTACATTTAGTAAGTTCATTTAAAATATTCCATTAAAGGATTAAAGAACTAGACATAAGACCTGAAACCATAAAATACATAGAAGGAAATACAGGCGAAACACTACGTGATACGCACATCAAAGACATCTTTACAGACACATCACCCAAAGCAGTGATAGTGAAGGCAAAGATAAACAGCTGGGACTACATCAAATTAAAGAGCTTCTGCACAGCAAAAGAGACAATAACAAAAAACAAAGAGAAACCCCACAACGGGAGAACATTTTTGCACACAACACTAATGATAAAGGACTGATCACAAAAATCTGCAAAGAGCTGATGAGACTCAACAACAACAAAGAAAACAGTCCAGTCAAAAAATGGGCAGAAGAGCTAAAAAGAAACTTCTCGGAAGAGGAAATGCAAATGGCCAACAGGCATATGAAAAAATGTTCAAATTCACTTGTAATCAGGGAAATGCAAATCAAAACTACCATGAGATACCATCTTACACTAGTGAGAATGGCACATATTAAAAAACTAGCAACAACAAATGTTGGCGAGGTGTGGAGAAAAAGGAACTCTCCTGCACTGTTGGTGGAGTGCAAATTGGTCCAACCACTATGGAGAGCTGTGTGGAGATTTCTGGACCTACTAAACATAGAGCTTCCATATGATCCAGCAATTCCACTCCTAGGTATTTACCCAAGGACACAGAAACATCAATTCCAAAGAGCACCTGCACCCCTATGTTTATAGCAGCACTGTTTACAATAGCTAAGCTTTGGAAACAACCCAAATGCCCAAAAATAGATGACTGGATCAAGAAGATGTGGTACATATATACCATGGAATATTACTCAGCATTCAAAAAAGATAAACACATGCAATTTGCAGCAACATGGATGGCGCTGGAAGGGATCATGCTCAGTGAAATAAGCCAGAAAGAAAAAGAAAAATACCGGATGGTCTCACTCATAGCAGGAATCTAGAAAACTTAAATAAGGGACCAGGGAAATGAATAACTATAAGAAAGTGAAAATCAAAATCAAAAGCAACTATGAACCAGAGACACTCTATGGGGGTTGGGGGGCGGGGAGGGGAGGATTTGGGGTCAAAATAAGGGGGGTTGCAATTGTATGGGAATATAAAAATAAAATTTATTAAAAAAAATTCATTAAATTCTAAGAAATGATGCTCCAGAGTGTGCAGAAAGAATGATTCAACACTATTTTGTGTGTATTTTATTAAAAAATATTTACTGGAGGGCCTCCC